TCTAGTTCAGTGTCTGCCACATCAGCACCCAGCCTAATCTGCACAAAGTAGTGGGTGGAAAAAGATTTGTTGGATGGATCATTGAAAGAATGGATGAACAGACTTCCACCTACCATATTTCAGCCAACTAAACACGATCGGCCCTCCACATCCATGGGCTCTGCATCTGTAGATTCAAACAACTACAGATCAAAAATATTTGGAAAAAAAGCCAAACCAAGAAAAAAATACTACAATAAAAAAAATAAATAGCCACGCACAGTGGCTCATGCTTGTAATCCTAGCACTTTGGGAGGCTGAGGCGGGCGGATCACCTGAGGTCGGGAGTTCAGGACCAGCCTCATCTACATGGAGAAACCCTATCTCTACTAAAAATACAAAATTAACCTGGCATGGTGGCAGGCACCTGTAATCCCAGCTACTTGGGAGGCTGAGGCAGGAGAATCACTTGAACCCGGGGGGTTGCAGTGAGCCAAGATTGCGATATTGCACTCCAGCCTGGCAACAAGAGTGAAAACCCACACAAAAAAAAAAAAAAAAAAAAAGACATATATATATATATATATATATATATATAAATGAACCAGTATAGTGACTATGTACAAGGCATGTACATTGTTTTAGTTATTGTAAGTAATCTAGAAATGATTTGAGGCCAGGTGTAGTGGCTCACGCCTGTAATCCCAGCACTTTGGGAGACTGAGGAGGGTGGATCACTTGAGGTCAGGAGTTCAAAACCAGCCTGGCCAATATAGCAAAACCCTATCACTACTAAAAATACAAAAATTACCTGGGTGTGGTGGTGGGCACCTGTAGTCACAGCTACTCAGGAGGCTGAGACACAAGACTTGCTTGAACCTGGGAGGCAGAGGCTGCAGTGAGCCAAGATTACACCACTGCACTCTAGCCTGGGCAACAGAGTGAGACTTTGTCTGGCAAAAAAAAAAAAAAATGAAGTATGTGGGAAGAGGTGCAGAGATTATGTGAAAATACTGTGCCCTTTTATATCACAGACTTGAGCATCCTTAGATTTTTGTATCTTCAGGGGTCCTGGAATGAATCTTTTATGGATGTGGAGGAATGACTGTAGTTTGAAGAAGTTTTCTAGATCCTAGACATTCATTCCAAGGCTCCAAAGAAGTAAAGGAAATGTCCAAGGACTTAAAAAATGAGAACGTTCAGTACTTTGGGAGGCCGATGTGAATGGACCACGTGAGCCCAGGAGCTTGAGACGAGCCTGGGCAACATGGTGAAACTCCATCTCTTAGGGGGAAAAGAAACCTCGCTACTCACTGCTACACACACATAAATTAGCCAGACATGGTGCACGCCTGTAGTCCCAGCTACTCGGAAGGCTGAGGTTGGAGGATTGCTTTAAAAATGAGAAAAAAACGGACATCAAAATGAAATAAGTGGGAGAACGAAAAGCTGCAGGCGAAGAATGGGGAACCCCTGAGAGCAGCCGGGAGGTTAGACCCCGGCTCTGTCACTCCCCCATTCCCAACCCCAAAGTGAGGGAGCGGAACTTGACATTCACATTAAGCCTTAAATACTCTGATTTCCTACCAAGCCCAGGTAGGAGTGTCCTTGAGCTCTTGGCAGAAGTAAAGGCACTTCCTCTCTGAGGAAAGCCCTTTACGACAAAAGTCCTCCAGTTTCTCACACATTAGGTAAAACCAAATATGGGCCCATTCCCTGCCCTCTCAGAGCTCATAGAAAATAATCAACACATATGCAAGTAAACCACCAGAATGACAGGCAATGAAACAACAGATTTAGATAGCCTAAAGACTTCTGATGATGTTAGAATTAGTATATAACTATGTACAAAATGTTGAAAGAAATACACAATGGAACAAAAAAAGAGTGGGCAAAACCTATTAAAAAAAACCAATCAGGTATATTCAAAACAGAACCGGAGAAAATTCTCAGAAAGAAAAATACCGACGATCATTGAAATGAAGTGCTCAGTGGATAAATTAAACGGCAGATTAGAGCCAGCTGCAAGAAGAGTTACTGCACTGCAAAATAAATCTGAAGAAATTACAAAGCAGAGAAGATTCCAAGAGGATTTGGAACTGAAGACAATTCTGCCTGAGGGAGCCCCAGCCTTGCCAGCCACTCTGGTGCCCAGTGAGCCTCTATTCACTTGAGGGACTTTGCCGTGGCCCCTGTTGTCCAGAGAGGGCGCTAGCCAGGCCATCCTCAATCTCTTGGTGCAGGATCAGGAAAACCTTTCCCGAGATGTGGCTGCGAGGGAGTGTTATTTACCTTAAATGGATCAAAAGAAAACCTCTAAGGGCTTTCAAATAGGTGAAGTTCTGCCTGAGGGAAGACCCAGCAGTGTTGTTATGTGTAGTCCCTAAGACGGCAGACGTTGGCCAGGGAAGGAGTTATAGAGACAAACTCGACGTCAAATAAAGAGAGGTTTTCTTCCTTTCTTTTCCTTTCTTTCCTCCTTTTTTAATTTTAGTTTTTAGCTTTGAAGACATGGTCTCCACCCAGACTGGAGTGCGGTGGTACGATCGTGGCTCACGGAAGCCTCGACCTCCCAGGGTCAAGCAATCCTCCTACCTCAGCCTCCTCAGTAGCTGGGACTACAGGTGTGCACCACCATGTCCAACTAATTTTTTCCCCCACTTTTTGTAGAGATAGGGTCTCACAATGTTGCCCAGGCTGTTCTCAAACTCCTGGGCTCAAGCAATCATCCCACCTTGGCTTCCCAAAGTACTGGGTTCACAGGTGTTAGCCGCCATCCCTGGCCTAAAGAGGAGTTTTCTATTTTTATTTATTTTTGTATTTTTAGTAGAGACAGGGTTTCACCATGTTGGTCAGGCTGGTCTCGAACTCCTGAGCTCCCGCCTCGGCCTCCCAAAGTGCTGGGATTACAGGCATGAACCACCACAGCCGGCATTATTTATTTATTTACTTACTTACTTACTTACTTACTTATTTGAGACAGAGTCTCGCTCTGCCGCCCAGGCTGAAGTGGAATGTCTCCATCTCAGCTTACTACAACGTACGCCTCCTGGGTTCAAGCAATTCTCCTGCATCAGCCTGCTGAGTAGCTGAGTAGAGAAAGGTGCAGCCAGTGAAATTCAAATGCTTCCAAACCAAACATACCATCTCTCTTCTCCCCTACTTAAAACAACAACAAACCCCACTAAAATTAGCTCATGCCTGTAATCTCAGCACTTTGGGAGGCCAAGGCAGCTGGATCACTTGAGGTCAGGAGTTGGAGACCAGCCTGGCCAACATGGTGAAACCCTGTGTCTCTTAAACATACAAAAATTAGCCAGGTGTGGTGGAGCTCGCCCGTGATCCCAGTTACTTGGGAGGCCGAGGCAGGAGAATCACTGGAACTGGGAGGCAGAGGTTGCAGCGAGCCAAGATCACACCACTGCACTTCCTTCCAGCTCTGAGCCACAGATTAAGACTCTGTCTAAAAAGAAAAAAAAAAAAAAGCACCAAAGAAATACAAGTCACAAAAGTGAGCCACAGGCCGGGCACGGTGGCTCAAGCCTGTAATCCCAGCACTGTGGGAGGCCGAGGCGGGTGGATCACGAGGTCAAGAGATCGAGACCATCCTGGTCAACATGGTGAAACCCTGTCTCTACTAAAAATACAAAAAATTAGCTGGGCATGGTGGCGCGTGCCTGTAATCCCAGCGACTCAGGAGGCTGGGGCAGGAGAATTGCCTGAACCCGGGAGGCGGAGGTTGCGGTGAGCCGAGATCGCGCCATTGCACTCCAG